CAGTTTTGTGCTCTGTAGAAAGTGGCATGTCTTTCCAAAAACAGCATACATAGATCATACAACAACTATAGACTAAACCAAGTTCAACCACGTATGTCTGTTTAAAATATTCTAGGGTTATAATCATTCCATAATAAAAAATCTGCCATCTGTATGGAGTCCTGCTCGTATGGCTATGGCGCAAGGAAAGCCAGCCAAAAAAAGAATCCTGGGAGTGACTCATCAACCTTAAGGTCAGAAGAGATCACGATCATCTCGTCTGACTGTGACCTCATGCCCTTTGAGGGACACAGAACCTCACCCACTCACTGCTGTTATAGACCCATAATCTCTGTCGTCACATCATGGTTGAAAGACTTCAAGTCCCAGAGAATCCACTATTGACACTAGTGAGTCATGCCCCTTGCTGCTGAGAAAGGTGACCCCCCACCCCCTCCCGGGACAATGAGAGGAAGTAAGAGCCCCTGCTGGAAGCACACAATTCTAATGCCATTTTAAAGAAGCATTAGAGAAAGCAGTCTCTTCGGATTACTACATCGTGTGAGTAATTCTCAGGAAAGATGAGTCCTTGCAGCCTGACTCAGAGCAAAGCGGGAATAAGTTACTCCAAAAATAGTAAAGTGGAAAGCTCTAGACGCAGACAAACCACCCAAGAGTCCAGCATAAGAACATAAGAACGGCCGTACGGGGTCAGACCAAAGGTCCATCTAGCCCAGTAGCTTGTCTGCTGACAGTGGGCAGCACCAGGTGCCCCAGACAGGGTGGATTGAAGACAATAATCAAGCGATTTGTCTCCTGCTATCCTTCTCCAGCCTCTGACAAACAGAGGCCAGGGACACCATTTCTATCCCCTGGCTATTAGCCTTTTATGGACCTAACCTCCATGAAAGTATCTAGCTTCTCTTTAAACTCTGTTATAGTCCTAGCCTTCACAACCTCCTCTGGCAAGGAGTTCCACAGGTTGATTACACTCTGTGTGAAGAAGAATATGAAGAAGAAGCATGTGAAGAGCACCACAGAGAGGCAAATATGCTGGGTGACAGACTGGGAGAACCTGCCTTGTAGGGGATATGCAGGAATTCCATCTGACAAGACAGCCAATGAGCTGCAGTGGTGGCAGGGGGTTTCTGAATAGCTGCTCCTCACCAAGACACCAGGTTGGAAGGGCAGAAAGATGTCTTTACTCCAGCCCTCCGGTCCTGCATAAAGGCAGTTCATTTGGCAGTCTTGTCTCCATTGGGTATTTCAGCCCCCACGACAGCAGCACCCATTCTTAAACAGGGTAAACAACGGTACTGAGCAATTGGAACAGATGTAGCTTGCCCCAAGATGCTTCACGGATGCAAAAAGTGGCTTTGCCTGTCTACACTGGGGATTTGAACAGGGATGGCTGCCCATCAAAAGGTGTGGTCAGCACAAATCTCCTTTGTGTGCAAGGCCTTGGGCTTTGTACATGTCGAGGAAAAGAGGGCAGCATCTGACCTTGAGAAAGATTTTCCTTCCAGATAAGGCCCTGATTCAACAAGATATTTAAGCCGATATCTAGCAAATGAGCTCTCCCAATCATTTTAATTCTCCTGACTTTCTACACAGACTCTTAAACTTCAGTGAGACTGTTCACGTACTTAAAGATATACATGTGCATGGTGCCCATTTACAGAGAGCGAGAGAGAGTTACATTTAAGCATAAGTTACATTTAAGCATGAGTATTTTTCCTTACTTACTGCCCAGGAAAACAGAGCAGTCTCCCTTTCTGTATAGCATCAGGCTTATCTGTATCTTGCCTATTCTGATTGTTTTTACATTACATTACACAATACATTATTCTGCACCATGTTTTTTTTAATAGAGCTCATATTTTTATTACCGTTTTCAGATTTTTAAGTACAACTTCCATTGTTAAGAAGCTCACAAGCACCACATATAACGTACAAGAATTTTATTCAT